TCTGTCCTTTGGTCGGGTTGTTGTCTCTTTGACATATTCCCAATTACATTCTTAATTTTAATCAATTCATATTTTTATATATCTAAACCTTAATTTTCCATAACATGTATTTTCGATATGTATTCAAACTCTCTTAAATTGATTGCATGAATTAATTGCAATTAGATCATCCTTTAACGACAAAGTCGTTCATTCAAACACCTGACTCATCCAAAGTTAAGAAGCAATAAATAACTAGAGGCTCTCAAGAGCTTGTGTCGCTCATCAGTATTTACTGTTTTTTTGAAATAATGTATAATATAAGGTTAAAATCATAATTAATAGTATAAGTTACTATAGATTAGCTGATATTAGATATTTGATACTATAATAATATTTAAGATAATAACCAAAAACTGCAAAATTTCCTTAAAATTACTAATTTAGGGGCAGCAATCCAACAACTGGTTGTCTGAAAATTTCAGGGCAGGTAAATCTAAACCTGTGAACATTTTACCCAATGTTAGATTTGCTGTAAATGCGTTTAGTTTCAGAGATATAAACCAAAAACTTCATTTTACCGATATGTTCTATTTTCAGCCATGACGACCATCTCGGACACATTTTTTAAACTAGATACCTTAATGATGAGTGTGCCAAGTTTGGTTATATTTGGCCCAGTAGTTTCAGAAGACGATTTTTGTAAAAGTTAACAACAACGGACAACGGACGACGGACGACAACGGACAATGGACGACGGACGACGGACGCCAAGTGATGAGAAAAGTCCAGATGAGCTAAATATGAAAAAAGTAGAATGGAAAACCTCTCACTTTTCATAAGAAAATAATTCTCCCCAACCTTTTTTAAACACAAACATGTATCTCCACATTCTAAAACAATGTCTTAACAATGTAAAAGATTAAGACACAATTTTCTGTAGAAATGTTTATAATATTACTTATTACTAAAGATAAAACGTGTATTCCAGTATTACAAATTAAGGTAATCTGTTATGGCCATGCACTTATATAAACCCTCACGTGACAGCTGAAGTATGTAAGATTTAAATCAATAGTTACAATGAAGGTAACTATGCCCTGTTTAAATCAGTGTGTACCTTTATAGAACGTACACAACCAATCACATATTCTGTTTTATATAATTACACCTCTTTTTATCTTCTGATTAAAACTGTATCAGTTAGTAATACAAACATAGTCATAAATCATTCTACGTTTTGAGGTGACATGTGTCTTTCAACAACATAGTAGTAAATGTATCTACATTAATTTTGTAGATTTCATTTAACATCAACAATATTATTTCTTCATTGGTTTTAACTACTCTATGTACCTCTTCGTTGGTGGTTTGAAACAAAAATATGATGAAAATTAAATGTTGTTTTGTTGTTTAAAGATCCCTATATTTTATTCTTTTCTGTGTTATTATCAATAAGTCATTTTATTGGCTCTGGATGAGCTGTATTTCATAAAACCTTGATAAAATGACAACGATCCTAAAGATTTTGTTTGTGTTGTAATAGTATTAAAGTGATTTGCAATGGATTAAAATAAAAATGGTTTAAATTCTTTTGAATCTTATTTAAATATTAATTTATCTTGTTAGAATTGGGTTAATTCCTTGTTAGTCGATCAGTCTAAATTCTGGTTACTAGTTAGATCGTTTTCGATGGGCAATTACAGGTGCCAATTCGCACATGTTCTCTTTTCCTGCAAAATTTTAACACGAATGTATAAATTCAGTATGCTCAGCATCAAACAAATAGAGATCTTTAAAATCGATTCAGTCTTTTGTACCGTATTTTTAATGTTTGATGAATACTCCTCTGATGAAGATATCTGAATATTTTATTATGTTTAAATTCAGATAAGATTGCAATTAATTATACAGTGCTTGCAACCTTATGCGTTACTTTTTAGGCGATCAGTGAACAGTCAACAATTCGTCATCGATAAATCAAATTCATGTCAAGTACTTATCAAGTTCATTTAATCCATCTGTCAGACTTATTAAAAGAATTTTCTCGACTGATCTGACGGATCGGATAGATACATCAATTTCACGTTTGTTACAAGAGAAATGAAATGTGAAGATACATTTACGTATTATAATTCATTTTTTTTTCAAAACGTACCCTAACATGTTCTATCGATGCACGCCTTATTGAACTTTTGAAAACAGCTTTTAAGTGATAGGCTCAGTATTTTGTAATTTTTTTATTCTCACATTTCAATGGATTTAGTCTTATCTATGTTGTGCTTTGTGCATTATTGTTTGTCTGTTGGTATTTTTTTTTTTTCATTTTTATCCATGGCGTTATCGGTTTCTTTTCGAGACGGAGGTTCCTAATGTATATTTCGCCTCTCTTTTCCATTTAGAATAAGTTAAAACGTGATATGAGGTTTTTTTAATCGTTCAATTTTCCATCGTTTCCTCTAAGTTTCAATCAAAATGATAATTTATCAACATATCTTTATTGCTCTCCATAGAATCCAATGAAGTTCATGATGACAAAATAATTTAACATGCATCATTGTTCGATATTCCTCTCTGAGAATTGATAAAAACAAAAATGAAACTCGGAGAATTCGACGAGAATATAAATGAAACTTCTCAAATCAACTTTAGCTACATCAAGATAACCTTATTTACACCATTAATGGTATATGTGATCATGTTTCTCTGTTAGTATTTAAATGAATTAAATGTGTGCTTATATTTTGTGTTAAAAGAGATCAAATTAAACCATTGTGGTGACGTTAGCCCATTCATTTACCGTGGATTCTTTTTCTAGAATCAACGCTTCCTAAATCTGCCGCTGAAATTGACTCACCAAATTATATTCAATTGTTTCCTTTGTGTGCCTAATTTCATTAAGTATGAATTGGCTAATTTACTGATTTCTGTTCACTAATGGAATTTATTTAAAAACTTACCTTTATTTTTTGTAATTCTTATATGCCTTCACTGGGAATCGAACCCTCCCTTGAAATCTGTTATGCGTGACTGACATCAACACACCGACGAAACCTCTCGGCTACCAATGGGTTACACTATAGATGTTTATTATATATATTTAAATGAACATCTGATATACATCGGTTCATCGGACACACAGGGCTTGTACCTTTATATAGACACAATAGGCAGTCGTATAGTATGAGTTGGTAGCCGCGAGGTTAGCATGGTTAAAATCAATGAGTTAAAGATCGGGATTTGTCGGTTTAGGTTCGAATCCCTGTATTCTCTCTGTTGTTCCAATTCTTAAGTTATCCTGGTTTTTTTTCTAATTTTGCAAGTTATAGTGGATATTTTTGTAATAATAGCGAGTTTTACCGGGTTTTTTTTATTATTATTGGCTATTTCACATGTTTGAAAGAAAAATGATTACATTCTATTTGTCAATTTTTGTTTTATAAATATAGTATGATTTCATCTGTTTTACTACATAATTTTACAAAGGTTTGTTCGCAAATTCCTATGCGAGAAAATCGTGATGTGCCTAGAATGCTAGAAAAATTTCGATAACATACTTATTATATATACTTTATATATGCTTTTTGGTCGGGTTGTTGTCTCTTGGACACGTTCCCCATTTCCATTTTCAATTTTATTAGAAATAATTTCGAATATGTCTTATTTTGTATAAACAGATAATATTCATATGCCTGATAATATAAAGATCTTTAAAGGTAAAAGTTTTATATTTGTATTTGTTAACCAATTAATTGTGATCTGAGATTTATCAATGCATCGTTGGACACGATAACATGGTTATTTAAACTCACTTACAATACCTTCTAATTAAGAAAAGGCTTTAATTTTGAAAAGAAATTAACACAATAGTTTAAGTTATAGATACAATGGATAAGCGTAGATTCATGAAAAACAAACCATTCGCCCTCCGGGCTCATGGTTTCTTTTTCAAGAATCCACGCTTATCCATTGTATCTATATAACATATTGAACATTTACGTTTTTACGTATTAACTTTTTGAATATAAAGAATATACCCTCGCTTATATTCTTAATATATATAATCATTTCCTCTTAATCCCAGCAATAAAGACTATATCCTAGCTCTCAATAAATAATTCAAAGTTTGGTATTATGTTGCACAAATATATCCCATCAAGCTTGAAATAAAGGATACATTAGATACAGTTAAGTCTGTTTCATATCATAATGTAATCTAAAAACACTCTATGAGGGTCGTTTAAAAACAAAACAATGAATTGCGCTTTCCAATTGTGACCTTTTCATTTCTGTGTAGCAACATTGCAGCAACGCCAGCAATTGTAGTATATATCTCCAACTTCATACGATGTTCCAGGGCTTGTATTTCCTATAAAATAATTATGATTTCTTGATATAGGATTGCTGCTCACACAGAAGCAATCAAACAAATATTTCCAAGTTTAAATTATTCATTCGTAAATTTTAGGGACGCTATCACGAGTAGATTGATCGTTATGAAATATATGTTTCACAGATGACGAAGGATACGTTTCAATTATCAAACCACAATACCGTCCTATTTTCCCTGATTGTGACTCTCCGAATTAGTCTTATGATCAGGTTTGTACTTACTTGAGTGCTTGCTCTGTTGTTTTATAGAACATTATTGACCCTATAGATGCGTTTTATCTCTCTCGTCCAACACTCATCTACGTTTACCGGTATCAGCAAGAATGCTCATGAGTCTGAACAATTATTTCGGTTTTCAAAGTCGAATAATTAATCATGATTGGTTAATCCGTTGCATTTGTTGCCTTTGATGCTTCAGAGTAAATTCTATTCGTTTTATTGCTCGATGAGCTCTAAGGTGGAACCGACCTATACTTTGTATAACAGTCCTCGTATTGTCACATACAAATCAGTTACACGAAAATAGCCAATGACGTATTTTAAAACCCAGTTTTTTACAATGAAAATAAGTCCAATAAAGAATACCTGTATTGGTGAGTTTACCTTTATATAAGTTATTACCGATAAAAAACAATAATACGAATGACACATATGTGAAGGAGTATGTCTCACTTTCTAAAAATGTGGGAAGCATTAGAACATAATTTTGGACAAAGGAAAATAAAATATATAAAATTCAGGTTTCAGATTGACACCTTAGAGATACTTATACATAGGTTAAACATGCTATTTTTAAAAAAGGTAAGCATTTCTTATATCTTGATTTATATTATATATTCTAAAACAATAAGATGTAGGGAAAATATAATTATTGTGGTGGTTTTTTTCACAACGATTGTTCTACTATTTGTCATTTTCATAAAAGAAAATTGAGTCTGCTGGGTTCCAATTATTGTCGAATTTACAACATATGTCTGGTTTGGAATGCATTTCCCATTTATGTCAATAAAAGAGGACGTTACACAGCACTAATGCAAATTGGGGTTTATGAAGCTGTTATCTATTATACTGAAACTAACACAAGGAGTTTTATTACAATTCAACTTTTTATATGAAATTATCATAAACACTTTTACTAAATAAATCATAGAACACGATGTTGGTTCAAAATAGTTTTTTGTCAATAATTAGATGATACAAAAATTCTTCTATTCGAGAAATGATGCGCTCTAAAATAATCATCTATACCATTGTACAATTTTATTGTAGTCAATGTTCTTCTTTTGTTTTGCTGTAACAGCATTTATAGTGAAATGATTCAAAAACAAAAACCATAAAAGTGATGCTGTGTTGTATTCTTAGATATAACATTATTAAAGTCGGCCAGGTAAGAAGTTTGAATAATGGAGAAGAACTAGGAACCTTTATAAACTGCCCAGTAAAGGTTTTTTTATATTCTTACATGTTATTGTCGTCGTCGTCTAAATGTTTATGGTATGTTCTTATCGCATAATAGGAACGACTTATTGTTTTAACCCGAAAATATCCGATAGTTGTGAGTTTCAAACATAAAAGGACTAATGACATAATAATACGGCACTCTAATATATTTTATTTTGAGAAACCTTGAGTTTGAGTATTATTACATAGCATTTAATGTTTCGCATCAAAATCTATCATTTGACTCATGTCAGTAATGCAGAAACAGACTATTGATCAATGATCACATACTACTATCAAATATTGTGTGCAATTTCACCTAGAAACAGAGGAGAAAACAAACAGCTGTACCGTTGATTGATTAATGTTTTGATAGGGGTTTTTGCCATTATATTTGTCTACGGTAAAGTTAAAATCGAATTTCTTTTATTTGTCTTAAAGAAAAACATGAGAACTGTATCATGAATATAAAAACAAAATATTTTGCCTGCATGTATATATTTCTTAATTAAATTCCATATTCATATCATCTTGAATGACTTGAAAAAAGGGCGTGATAAAATGAGCCAATTTCGATTTCCTATTTCTAGTATGACGTCAATGTCACTATTTATATATAAATATCCAATATTTCAAATCTAACAAATTTATTAATAAAGAAAACGTGATTTCGATATTTTTTTAAAGAATTTCCTTTGAGAAAATTAATTATTGATAAAGTACTCTAGATTAATGTATAGAGAGACCCAACGGCGTGTGGTATTGACCGTACAGTTTGAAATTTACATTTTGGAGTTAATGCAATTTCCTCAGGTTTTTTTTTTACCTTGATGTGTATCTATCTCCTTAATGTATTTATGAGATTTTAATCTTACTTCTTCTTTTGTACCTTGAACGTCTTTGGAATATTTTCATTGTCCGATGTTTAGCTTAAAACATATTAGAATATTTAACATAAAACGGAGAGACGCTGAATTATATAACCTTCTTCATTACTGATGTAATGTTCATGGTCTTAAAGGGTCTAATTAGCTACGAGATGTAAAACAATATGATGAAAGTTATATAGTGAAATAGTAATTCGCTTTATGCAGCCAATTATGATTCATTTTGTCAACATAGCATAGAAACATTGTTGATGAAATATACATTTGCAAGTGAATAATTCGAGCTCATTTAATCCAAATTCATGTTACCTTCATTGTAACCCCCTAAGCCAGAGAATGGTTACGCATGTATTAGTCGTGTTCAGCCATTAAACATATCAAAAGACAAATAATAACAACATTGAAAATGAAACAAAGGTTACTCACTACGTTGACTGATTCGATCCATACAAAAACTTATTTGTGTTAACCTATAACATGAATTTGACAGCTGATGCCCTTTAATATAAAGGCTGTCAAGGCTGTCATCTATTATTTTGAAACACTTACTTAATCAATGATCAATGAAAACGAGATTAAGTTCAGATTAACTGTGACAGAGTTCACTTATCGATACTTTTAACTAAAACTATTTGATGTTATCACGCAAATCTTACATAGATCAATGAATCTTTAAGAAAAATATATACCGAAAGACAAATTACCAACTGTAATTGCGACTCTATGTTAATAACATTATTCAGAGTCGATAAATGAAACATAAAAATAAAGTGACATTTGCTAACCTTAGATATCCATCTCCAAGATGCATACTATATAAACCTTAATACAAACAAAACATAACAAAACGCGTCGCTGCAATCAATCACGCTGATGGTTTATCGTCACCATATTTTTTAATAGTAGTTATAAGCATTTGTAAATATCTTTTTTTAAACTGATCGTTCGACCATAGTATCTTCACATAAAACCATGATGCCAAAAAGATCTTGTTAGACGAGTGACATTAACAATAACAATTTTATTTTAAATGCACCAATATCTATGTTCATCTTCAACAATTGCCACTCTTCAACACTGTGGACTGTATCAGGTGTGATTTGATTCATGACAGAAATCCCTTTGTTTGTATTGATGGATTGGTTACGTTTTCTCTCTTTATTTGATAAACTTTGCTCAAAGGAAAATAGGTGGTTATTGGTGAAGGCCTTACGGTGACCTATAGTCGTCATTTAACGCCAAATATCCATACAAAAAGAGTCGAGCGATAATTTCGATTTGTCGACCTATTTGTAGATCTTGTTTATATTTACTATTTTAATCTTTCAATTATAGTTTTTAAGATATAACGTTAAAGGCATTCACTCTTAATCATTGGTGCTATTCAAAGTTTCTCTGTATCTTTTATATGTTTTTGAAATATAAGGAAATAATGCAACAAATCATCAAAGGGCAATATTTCCAATAAGGAGTCGACTGACAATTTTGCCATATTGACTTTTTCGTTGATGCTATCTTGCAGGTCTGTGTTGTAATTCTATGTTTAGCTCTTCGTCATTTATTGCTTTAAAGATATATAAAATGCTCATAATCGTCAAATAATTCAATAACAATAATGCACATAATATTTATAATGATAATAACACGTCGTTCGACTGTAGATACATCTCCCTATCGTGAATATTTCTATCATATCATGTTTTACTCTATTTAATAGAGCACATCCGCAACGTCACTGGTCAGAGTTTAAATTAAAGTATTTTTTTTTCATAACTAATCAACAAAAATTAATCGTGGTATTGAAGAAAATAGATTTGCTAAACAGTGCCCTATAGTGTAACATAGATATTAAACAAAGACTGAACGAATTCCAGATTCTCGTGATAGAGAAGGGATTTACAGAATGTAGAAAATAACTTCAGCCAACAAGTACTATTGGTATCGGTATCAGATTTGACTCGGAAACTTGTTAATTATTGGTCACATTAAATATGTAGAAAACAAAAGGTCAGGTATTGAGGTAATTATTAAACAACATCATTGTCCTATGTTAGTTATATATATAGTTGAATTCGTTAATTTGTCGTTTCCAGGTCATGCCACATAACAAACTGGACTTCGTTTTAAGTAGTATAGATAGCAGCTTTCAAAACAAGAGACACGTCTTGTTTTTTCCCTAGGTTCTTATTTTGTCAATAACGGCTATGTAATTTAGCAGACTTTATCATTGGACAACTAGACAAATCAATGATAATTATGGCAGTTCTGGTATCAATTGACGAAAAAGTTTTCGAGAAAACGATTCATTTTTTTATAAACGTAACGGACGACGACAACAAAAGTGAAAACGACAATAGACGACGACAAAAAAAAGTGAAAACGACAAAAGACGACGACAACCAAAAGTGAAAAAGACAATAGACGACGATGGCGGACGACTGTGATTTGAATATCTCATTTGACCCTTCATGGCTGTAGTCATGTATAAATCATAACTGAATACATGCTGATAAATATACATGCACTATTCGTTGTTACTCCAATAACATACATATATAGATAAATCAACTTCTTTTCCTGTTGCTCTATATTTGGGTCGCCTAAATACTCCAACCTTCTATTGTTTAACAAAAAGTAAAATCACAAAAATACTGAGCTCCGAGGAAAATTCAAAACGGAAAGTCCCTAATCAAATGGCAAAAAAAAAGGATAAAACACATCAAACGAATTGACAACAACTGTCATATTCCTGACTTAGTACAGGCATTTTCAAATGTAGAACAATCCATTAGCCAAATATTCGATTAGCCTGATTGATCTGAAATTGCATTAATTGGATCACAAATCTTTTGCGTATAAACCACGATGAAGAAGCTAACCTTATCTTAATTTAGATTTGTAAACTGATAAAACCTTTTTTTTTTCCTTTACTTAAATATGTGGGATATAACAAAAGGACATTAAACATTGTTAAAATATCAAAAGTAGAAAAAAAACTATGGTCTCTTTTGTTTTGTTGCACTTCAGTCTTTCTCTTATTCCGTTGTTTTCCTCTTATAATGATGTGTTTCCCTCGGATTTTAGTTTGTAACCCGGATTTCTTATCTCTCAATCGATTGATGACTTTTGAACAGCAGTATACTACTGTTACCTTTATCTACTACGGTTTTAAATTGATAATCTTTAAGAATAAATTTATTCAAATGATCAATGCGTTTTCGCGGATAACATCTAATTATACGGGTTCTACAAATAACATCACCGTAAAAAGAAGCATGTGACATCCTGTTTTTATAAAAATTGGGGAAAGCAAATTCCTAACCAAGCTTTATATTTATTAAAGAGTTTAGAAAACTAATTTGTGGTTACGAAATCCCTGACTTCATCATTTGCTTGTTGTATATAAGATACTTTCGTTGAAATCTAAAACGTCTCTGCAGACACAGGTAAGTGATTACGCTCTGACAAAAAAAA